AAAGAAAACACTTCACAAAATCATATTTGAGGAAGGAAGAGTGTGTATTTGCAGTTTAAATCTCAACCTGAGTTCACAGGTACAGGTAAGAAATGTGGACACAAATTATTATTGACTTTTATGTCTGGAAAAAATGCCCTTAATGGTGAAATGTATCAAAAACATAATTTGATTAGATCGACTTTCATCACTTCAGATTTAGGTTTGCGTACATCTATTCTCAAACTAGAGCACAGAAAGACCCGGTAACCTTTTCACTCATTTTGCAAGAAGATTGTATGCGAGAACAATGTTTGATTAGCTGTTCGGCACAACTCTCCTGATGTCTCTTCCACCCTGTATCTGATTGCTCTGATGTAGGTCGGTGTAGCAGAGAAAAGCATCACCAGGTTATCCATTAATTCAAGTTTGAGCACACTCCCGCGGGAGGGAGGTAAAACCACTAAATCACCCTGGCAAGTGTTTCACCAAACTTCCTGCTGGCTGGATGTCTCAAAAAGAACAGAATCTGCACCTCTGACTCAGAGACGGGAGGGTCGCACAGAGGATGAAAGAGGAGTGCTGAACATCACGAAGACCGAACCAATCAGGAGTGTAATTCATCCAAAGTACGGAGCAGGAGGAGAATTCTGGACTAACCACAAAATATATGCAATTTGATCAGACTGCATGCTACAATTCCATTAGGTGTATTTTTGTAACACAACTGGAATTGCACTGAGTCTTTTTTCCAGCTGAGGATGGGAAAAGACGCTGGGCCGGAGGAGAGACCCAAGTGGGACAACAAGGCTCAGTATCTGCTGACATGTATTGGCTTTGCAGTGGGAATCGGAAATGTGTGGCGATTCCCTTACCTCTGCCAAATCTACGGAGGAGGTGAGATGCTGCCCTTTTACTCACTTTACACCATCGCTCCTACTGTAAGAGTATCTGTAAGAGTCCTGTTTAATCATCCAGTGTAGAGATGCTTTAATCGGTTTGCATTTCCATTTAGTTTCAGTAGGTATTAACGAACAAACCGTCAGTCTCTGAACCTGTCTGGAAATGAATAACTTTATGTATACCTGATTAACCATGGGAATCATTACATACTGTTTGTGAGGAATATATCCACCTTTGTTTGCTTCCTCATACTTACCCAAAGAGATACGCCGAGTCCTCATGCCACGGAGTTATATAGGAGCCTGCTCTGGGTCAGGCTGTGTAAACAGCCAGTCCAGAAAATGTGTGTGGGCTCTATCACCTTCACATATTGACTTCCCAAAAGGCTGTTTCTCAAATCTGCTGAGCGTCTGTTTAACTTTGGCTTAGTCTGTTTAATTGAGTCACGTTTTTCTATTGTTAATCTCCCCTCAGATTTGTTTGGTTTGGAGCTCGTACGGTGAAGCAGCGAGGTGACACGAGAAGTTAATAATTTTTTTTTAAATTTTGTAAATATAGTGGGTTTTTCTTTAAAAAAAAAAAAAAAAAAAAGTCAGCCCGATTCCCAGCAACCCAGTGTGTTTTCATTAGTAGAGCTTTGCACTGTAATCATAAAAATGCCTAACTGTAAGATAAATATTTACTTCATGTCTTCAGGTGCATTCCTCATCCCTTACCTGATAGCGCTGGTGTTTGAGGGCCTCCCCCTGCTCTTCCTTGAGCTGGCTGTAGGACAGAGGCTCCGGAAGGGCAGCGTGGGTGTCTGGAAGACCATCAATCCCGTAATCGGTGGAGTAGGTGGGTAACCCAAAAAGTAATAGTAAATGTTTTTATGTACTCTACAGTTATACTATTCGAATGTGTTGCTTTATTTTAACGACATATTAGTTAATCTAAGATTCTTAGTTGTTTTTCAACCCTTTAGTCAACTGTATCATATCTGATAAAGTAGAAAGTAAAACAGAATAACCAAAAAATAAATAAATGTTTCTTTTGTTGAAATTGACACCGGTCAAAGATTCCTCATTCTTAAATTTAAAAAATAAAATTAATACCTGAAAAAAATCTTTCTTATGTGCAGGCATCGCCTGTTTGATTGTATCGTTTCTGGTGGGCGTTTTCTACAACACCATTCTGGCCTGGGTGCTGTGGTACTTCTTCCACTCTTTTCAGGAACCCCTGCCGTGGAGCACCTGCCCACTAAATGAAAGCCGCATAGGTGAGACAGGAGCACACCTCGGTATTATTCTTGCTTGATAAATTTATGGCCGTACGCCGTGATTCTGCTGCTGCTCCACTGTTTGCAGATTTAATAACAAAGATAAAGTTAAGGATTATCAGTAAAGATTTATGGCTGCCTGCCACGCTCTTGGTAGCATTTCAAGAGAGATTCAGTAAAAAAAAAAAAATACTGCTGGACAGCTTTATGGCACAAAGGGAACATTGCACCACAACATAAAATAAAAAAGACAATGATTTTTTTTAAAGATAGGTGCAACTAAGACATGAGATGAACAAGTAAATAGCAATGATGATGCAGTGTTGGGACTGTTGACGCTCTGCTGAATTTGTAATTTTGCACACTTTTAAACAAATGAACAGTATTTTGTGGTAGTTTCATTTTAATGGAGAGACACAATACCAAACACACCAAAACATGATTTAGAGAAAATCCTTGTTGGCAATCACAGCGCTGAGACGTTTCCTGTAGTTGGTCAGCAGGTTTGCAAAATTCTCAGGAGGATTTTAGTTCACTTCTATTTACAGAAACTCCAAATCTTTTAGGTTTCGTGGCTGCTGTTTGGCAACTCGAAGTTTCACTCCACATATTTTCTATAGGACTGAGGTCTGAAGACTAGGAAGACCACTCCATGACCTTAATGTGCTTCTTCTTTAGCCACTGTTTTGTTGCCATAAAGATCTGTTTTGGGTCATTGTCACATTGGAAGACCGATTTGTGACCAACGTTCAGTGTTGCAGCTGCGGGTTTCTCATCCAAGATGTTTCAGTACGTGGGCCCATACATTGGCACCATTTACAGAAAAATAGTCCCAAAGCATAATGCTTCCAACTCCATGCTTGAGGCAATTGTAATTTTATATTTGTTCTATTTACAAATAGTCGCACCAGCAGTTATCTTCTCACCAACCTTCTTGTCGATGGTGCTTTGGTCTTATGCTGGTCTAAAAAATCTTTTGCGTATGTGTGTCCATGTAGACTATAATTTGGAGTGTAAGAAAAGCACTCCGGTAAATTACTTCTGGTACCGTGAAACCCTCAACATCACACCTGACATCGAGATCAGCGGCTCCGTGGAGTGGGGGATGGTGATCTGTCTAGCCAGCGCCTGGTGCATCGTCTACATCTGCTTCATCAAAGGCATCGACTCCGTGGGAAAGGTCAGTGTAACTACCAAAAACATTTAATATATAATGATAGGTTGCAGAACACTGGACGCCTAACCCTGTGCTATCACGATATGTGGTTTCTATCTTACAAACCTGTTCTCCCAAGTCATTACATCTGTCATTTCCCCCCAGAAAACACGTTATTTTAATGTTTCTATATATTTTCAGGCTGTGTATGTGACATCTACCTTCCCTTACCTGGTGCTGACTATTTTCCTGATCCGTGCCCTCACTCTGCCTGGAGCTACTGATGGACTGTTGTACCTCTTCACCCCTGATGTGAGTTGGAGTGAAATTTTTAATCTTTTGTCCCACAAACAGCTGATTTCCTAATCAGATGTTATACTCGTGACAGTGGCAAACCCTGACGAACCCACGGGTGTGGTTGGACGCCGCCACGCAGATCTTCTTCTCTCTTTCTGTGGCGTTTGGAGGTCTCATATCTTTCTCCAGTTACAATGAAGAGAAGTAAGGACAGACACTTCTTAACCTCCCCCGGTGAACACGGGGTGATTAGTAAGCTCGTCTTTCTCTCGCTCTTTGTGTTGTTAGAAACAACTGCGAGAGAGACGCTGTTCTTGTGGGAGTGATAAACAGCGCAACGTCTATCTACGCCTCCATTCCGATTTTCTCCATCCTGGGTTTTAAAGCCACCACCGCCTTTAACGCCTGTAAAGACGAGTACGTAAGCATGCCTATTTTAGGTGGGGTTTTGCAACTACGTCTTTGCCTGATCCTGAGTACTTACTCTTCAAATCTTATCTGCAGGAACATCCTGGCTCTGACCAATTACTTTGAGTTTTCAGACCAGAACATAACCCTGCAGAACTACGATTACTGGTATGAATATCTAAATACGACTTATCCAGAGAAATTCCAGAGTCTGTCCCTGAGGGAGTGTGATCTACAAAAATTACTTAAGCAGGTACTTACTCCATCTTATAGTCATTCTTCTATCCTCGAGCCCCTCCATCCACAAACACCGGTCATTTTCATACATTGCCATTTCAAGTATCCTCATTAGCTTCTTGTTTTTTTATCTTCAGAGTGTTTCAGGTACTGGCCTGGCTTTTATCGTGTTCACTGAAGCGGTGATATCGATGCCGGGCTCGCAGGTATGGGCCGTACTGTTCTTTGTCATGCTCTTTAGTTTAGGTCTCTCCTCCATGTTTGGTAACATAGAGGGTGTCCTCGCGCCCCTCAATGAACTCAAACTATTGCCCAGGTGGATGCCCAAGGAACTCATATCAGGTACTTGCACATCAGCTTGTGCTTTTTAAGTCAAAAACAATTTCCTTTGAATTCCCTCTTTTAAACTTTCACCTTCTTCACTTCTGCAGCGGTCATCTGTTTGATATCCTTCTTGGTGGCGCTCCTCTTCACCTTGAGCTCAGGCAACTACTGGGTGGAGGTGTTTAATGGTTACGTGGGATCTGTACCTCTGCTCATCATTGCTTTATTTGAGATTATTGGAGTTATTTACTTCCGTGGAATGAAAACGTAACTTTTTCTCCTCTTCTTCCTGAACATAACACTGTAAACTTCACTAACAATCATAATTCATATCCGTTTTACGTCTCCTCTGCCAGTTTCAGTGACGACATCTATATCATGACTGGGAGGAGGCCAAACATCTTTTGGAAGGCGTGCTGGATGGTGATCAGTCCTTTACTGCTCCTGGTGGTGTTTGTTGCCTATGTGGTTGTCCAGGCACAGACACGTCCCACCTATCAAGCATGGAACCCAGATTATGTAAGCAGGAAAGCCAAGAATTGAAGAATGAATCTACTCATAAGTCAAGATTTTATTAGGTGCAGTTTGTTCGGTCCTCTATTTATCTTCAGAACTGCTCCAATTTTCTGTTCCATCACATCCCAAAGGTACATTACTGGATTGAGATCTTTTAATTGTGGAGATAATTTGAGTACAGTGAACTCATTGTTATGATCAATAAACCACTTTGAAATGATCTGAGCTGTGAGTCATAGCGAGTTATCCTGAAGGAAGATGCTACTAAAAATCAAACTGACTTCTGAAATGAATCCAGCAGCCAGACTTTTACCTGAGAAGCGACTATCTGTAATGTCTGTTAACAAACAAGCAAGAGTTTAAAAATGTCTATCAAAACCTACATTTTAACAAATATGTCGAGTAATAAATATAGACCGGCGGGATAAAATGACAGCTCAGTCCTTTATGGGATTTTATGAGCCTGAAATATCTCTTGGTTGGTTTCGATAACCTTAAGTTAGCCCTAAAGCACTAAAACAGCAACCACTGACCAAAGTGCTGGACACAGCAATAAAAAATAGAATTTAAATAAATAAAGTAAATCAATATAAAAAATGAATTGAATTAGTCAAGCTAAGCCAATTGCCTGCTTGCTGGTTGTTGCGCTCTATTTAACCCGAAGAAAGAAAATTAGCGCATTTTACCAATTTTAAACCATATTTAATAATTAAATAAATAAATGTCCTTCATTGTTTCCACCTCGATCTTTCTTTTCAGGAAAAATTCCCTGAAACTGAAGAGAAGCTTTATCCAGACTGGGTCTTTGCCATAATCATCCTCCTCTGCGTGGTGCCTGTGATTTCCATTCCTCTGGTGGCCCTCTACCAGCTGCTTCGTGGCAGATTCAGAAAGTCCTCGGTTGGGATGGAGTTGAATCCCTACGACAACGACGCCTTCGTGACTGACACACAGGAACAGAAGACTCAAAGGGCTTAAGGACTGTGGAGAGTAAAAATGCTGCTATACAGCAAAAATCCAGATGTTTATCACTGCTTTTCATCAAAATTCACTAGAATTTCATACAGATTCTGATGTTTACTTGACATATGAAACATTACATTACTTCCCTTGAAAATAAAACAGGATTTATTTAACAGTGACATTCTTAATTTTCATTTTACATATTTTTACATCATATCATATATCCAATATAACATTATATCCATTACACATCTTTCTTTGACTCCAAATATACGAATCTGCACAGTTGAACATAGTAAAAATAAAATAAAATAAAAAAGAACACAGAACCCTTCAGGTTTGTTCATTTCTGAACAACTTTAGCATTATCTAAAGAACTGAGCATATGTGATGTAACACAAAAGTAAAAAAAAAACAATCCTTTGGTGAATGGCTCACAACTTCTGTGACGTATGTCCTCACATGCTCTTTATGGAAAACTACTACAAGGTGTAAATCAAAGTCCACAAAGACACACACAGCTATGGGCTGAGACCTGCTCTATTACAGTAGCTGCATGACTTTCAATTACCGATCTTGACAGGTTGCTGTTGTTTGATTGTGTGCGTTTATGACTGAGGTTTAGCACTTAAGTGTTTTGCAGCACACGACTAAGTACTGTGTTTTCCAGACATGTTTCCTGACACTCTAGATCCGAAAGATGTCATGTATTGGTTTGAGGGTTTTTTGGTGATATATATTGTTAAAACACTTACAACTTAAGAATTAAACAAAGCAAAAGAAAAAAAAAAGGCTTTTAATATGTTTTTAACAAAAAAGGGGAGGGAATCTAGATTAAATAAATCCATACCTTTAATCTCCGAGTATTGTTCTGCGGTCATGTTGGAAACTGGGACTAGGAATAGTAATTTACGTCTGAATGGCCAAGAAGTCGACTGGAGTCCTGGGGTTAGCGGCCTGCCGCACCCTGGCCAGCCTCAGGTCCCCCAGACGCCGCTCCAGACTGCGCTTTCCTGTAAAAAGATAAAGATAAGAAGCTTTTTATTTCCTTCTTTGGTGACAAACTGTAAAATCAAATGACAGGTGCCAATAAACTGCAGATTATACATGTAAAATGATACGTGTATATTGGCTAAATTAGGTGCACCTCTTACAAAGTCCACATTTAAAAAGAATCAGCCTTCCTGGAAAGCGACAGGAAGGGACAGCCTTTCGTAGTGAAATCGAAAAGCTTCATTTTTCCAAACTGTAGTACTTTTATTTTGTTTTTAATTATTCTTGCCTAATTAAGCATCCACACACATACACACAGGCAGCGGTTATTTTATCCTGCTGTAGTCCTCAAAGGTTCACCACAGCAAACAGATCTGCATGTTTGATATGGGACTTTACACCAGATGCCCTTCTGGATGCCCCTCCTAGAAGTGCACAAACTCGTGACCCCTTCAGGCTGTCTCTTCGTGTCTCCTCCTTTTGTACGTAGGGAGGAAACACAAAGAGACTCCTACTGTATGTACATGCACTTATTTGGATGTTATTTGTGACTCTGCAGCAAATTATTTTTGATATGCAAATACAACTTAATATGTGAGCAGAACAAGAGTCTGCAACTGACAAAAGTGTCAGTGGTGTTGGGGATCGTCAAAATTGCTGGGCTCATGAAAAAAAAGAAATGTACAGCCAGATTTTATCCACAATGAAAGATCATCTGGAAAGCATCCAATTGGCTTCAGCCTCATTTTTCAGCAACAAAATGATCTGAGACAGACTGCTAATGCAGTAAAAGCAATGGATAGAAAAAAGAGAAGAGAAACAGCCAAGATCCAAAGAAGAGCTGTGAATGTGCTTCAAGAAGCCTGGAGACTATTCCTGAAGCCTCCTTCAAGAAATTACAAGAAAACGTAAAAGAAAAAGGTAATCATACCAAATTCCAACTGTTTTAGAATTGCACTTTGTTTTGTCTTGTATTTCCATGTATTTTTGCACACGTTTTAATTCATCACTGTGCCCATTTTCCATTTTAACAACAAAATCTAAAGGAAAACTGAGATGCTCAGACTTCTGCAGAGTACTTTGCGTAAAATTTTAATTGGATTTTTTGGAAGAAGAATCTGAACATCACTTTTGAGACTACATACGTTTGTGCAGGTGTGCGAGCAGATCTTTATAGAGAAGACGGTGTTGTGACAGCACCAGCAAGAAGCACAGACAGAAAAGCAGCTCCACTGCTTCGTACTGCACAATCCCCGTCTGGGCCTTATCACCTAAAATCAGTCCTAGAGAGGCAAAGAGAGAAGAAATTAAGTTATTAATGTGTTTGCTCAGGTGGCTGAAGGAAAATGGGTTGAATTTTACATCACAGCTCAGTAACACTGCAGCAATTGTGGGTTACAATCCAGTACTATCCAGTGAATAGTTTAGCTTATCCTATAATAACACATGTTAATGAAATTAACATAGCGTTTACTCACTTTAGTAATACTATAGCAACCTGCTAAAATAAATGGTTATATCAATGCAGTACGTATGCTGACAACATATTGTGATATTACAGGATACCATCAGCCTAATATCCTCAAAATCACATTGAAACTGTTTAAACTATCATCCCCAGCAATTTGTGCGCTGTAAATAATGTTTATATTTATTTAAACATTCAAAAGTCTTAGGGTTAATTAAGCGCACACAACACTGCTGCAAACTAGGAATTTACTATGTGGTTTAGTCTAATGTTTAACTTTCCAGGCTGAATGAGGTTATAAATCTCCTGATTCTCCTAAACGTACCATGAATACACAGAATGAACTATAATGGAAAACAAACGCAAATTACTACCATACATCCTGAACACATGCCAAAATAACTGACAGAAGTAGAAGTAGAAGAACTTCTACTTCTAGAAGAACTTCTACTTCTAGATGTTCTAGAAGTAGAAGAACTTCTACTTCTAGAACATCAGAAAATATCTGGCTGTGCTAAAGTCTTGAGCCACCCTTCATATTTTTCTTAGCTGGACATTTTAAGCAGTCTTGAGCAGCAGTTCTCCGGGCTTTATGAAGATCTTTTTATGTTTTTCTTTGGATATCATCTGCTTTTTCACTCATTTTCACTTCAGTCCTGACCATTTTCACAGGACTGTTTCTTTGTTAAGCCACTTGACACTGGCCTGAATCGTTCAACATAAAAAGGGCAGCTAACCCAAATGCCAAATTTTAATAAGAACTCAACTGTAAATTACCGGAAACAGGTTTTCCAGAGTGATTAATCCAAATTTGCAATTTGCTGTTCAAGTTATTGAAGCATTGTGGGAGCACCTTGATAGAAAGTATACTTCTGTTACTGGAATTCCCACTGCCTGACCCGACGAAGCCTCGAACTATGTTAACCATTTGCCACACAGTCACCCTGACGCCACTATATTCCTCGCTCCTTTAAACTGTTTGCACAAGAATAATTAGCACACTCCGCAGGGGTGCTAATAAAAAAAATAAAGTATGCATTAAATACAATAACATCTATATAATTTAAAAATAAGTGACATTAAACTAGCACGCAGTGATTAAGAAGATGTAGATAACTGAAAATGAAAAAGGATAAAATATAACAGCTCTGAAAGCGTCCAACTCGCAAGTATGTGGGACTCATTAACTCACAGGAGCACATTAACTTGGCTCTGCTGTTATTTGCCAACATCCAGTTTGGAGAGGAGTAAGTTTAACTGCTGTAACTGATCCTGAGTCTGCCGTTTCATGTAATATAATACATTTTTGTATTCTCTCCCGTTTTCATCTGCTCGTTTAACTGGGAGCACTGACATCTCAGGGTGTTAGCGACACAATTATCACACTCTCACTGAGCTTTCACAAGCGACATCACCCGAAAAGGGCGCCCTCTGCTGGCCACGAGCCTGATGCCACTGCTGTTTGCCGTTCGGCTTAAACAAATCTATAGTATGGTAAACAGGACACCACAGCAGTACTCTGAGTGCATCTCTACCTCTAAAATCCAGCTTGTGTGGCTGCTATCTTAAGTAAATATTAAATCTATAAGGAAAATGAGAGGGAAGCATCCCTGTCATCAAAATGGATCAAACCATAAAGTTCCCAGATTGAAGAGCAACCGAGTAAAACTTGAGGAGCAAAAAAGGCACAAAGTAAAATGTGCTAAGGTCCAAAACATTAAGCACATTATAGCAGTGCTGGATTTTTTGCCCTGGTCTTCTTATACCTGAACATCTTGTTTTTTTCCAACTACCCACATTACTCTTTAAAACTGCAGGATCTTACTTCACAATACAACTTGCAGAGATGCTATTACTTGATTTGAACGTGTTTATACCAAACTACTGCCCACTATTACCAATCAGTAACAAAGTGCTGCTGTGAAATGCAAAAGTTGCCTTTGTTGCTGCGTCTGATGAGCTTGTTGCAGTACTGGGCCATCTCCCATATCAGCTGCAGAAAGAAGACGGGGTTCTTGGAAACGGTCTGACCAAAGGGCAAACTTTGGGCACAGACGTGAAATCTGAAGAGGAAAAAAAACAACAAAGAAAAACAGGAAGACACACAAAAACTGTAAATGAGGACAGGTTCAGTTAGACATTTACATTTAGAGATAAACAACAGGACAATTATTTCTTTTTTTTTTTTTTTTTTTTTTCTGCTCATTCTGTTGGTTTTTGTCTTTTGCCCTTCTCCCCCGTTCTTCTCTTTTCTTATCATTGTTGTCTAAAGGCGAGAAAAGATGCCGCCCAAACACGGCATTTTACTGTTTTTTGCCTGTCCCAGTTTGGCTCTTTTGCCATCAGAATTGTTGTCTAAAGGCAAAGAAAGATGCCCAACGGATTTACTTTACCAAATGACCATCCCAGCCTTGCCGTAATGGTCCATTTGATTCACCTTTTATTGTTTATTTTATTTTCACTTACTGAATACTGGGACAGACTTACTGGGGGAAAGAAGGGGAGAAAGAAAGAGGGAAAGAGAAACAGCTGAGAAGAGGGACGGGGGAGAAGGGCAAAAGACAAAAACCAACAAACGGGCAGAGAAAAAAAAATGCATATATCAATCACCTGGATCACCTGCTGAGAAAGAAAAAAGAAACAAGCAGAAGAGAACAAGAGTAATAGAATAAACAACATCACAATGATATATGTGAATATGACAGTAAATACTAAATATTAAACATTATTGTGCAGCACATAAGATCAACAGAACACAGTGTGCTTTGAGGTAGGAGCCAAAAAGGGTGTAGTTTGTGGGTGTGATCACCCGTGTGTACACCTGTGAGCATGGACGCGCTTGTTTTTTTAAAAGGTTCCTTCATGTAATGATCTGCTAGAGAGTGTGGGGAGCCACGGGACAATTATTTCTAAGCTCGGTGCAGGTACTGATTAATATAACCCAGATTTTTACCCAACTGGAAGCGATTCATGTTGAAGGTTCCCAGTTTGTGTTTATTATCCATGTATTTTGATGTTACAGGTGGGTAAATGCTCCAATCTGACACTGACAACAGTACCTGTACGCATGCAGCAGCACCATCTTGTACATGTTCTTGTAGACCGCTTCAAGAGAATTAGTCTGAGGAGAAAAATTTATAGATTAATGTAACGGAAAGCAAGTAGTTTACTAACATACTGATACAAGATTTCTTCATTGATTGCTCAGGTCGGATTTTCCTGTTAGTCAAAACAGAAAGCAGCTCCAAACCCTGCTGCTCCCTCTGCCATGCTTTACAGCTGGGAATTGAATTTGATTGCTTTATGGTCACTTTGGTTTTTCCTCAAAAGTAAAATCGTATAAAAAGATGGACATCGCCTCAGTGATATCGCACATTGGTTTTAGGCTGTGCATTTTGAAGGCCCAGTATTCGAGCTTTGACCAGTGCCGTCCTGTTCTGAGCCAAGTGTGACCAAATTTGAGTAAGAGGGAAGAAAAAAAAAAGAAACCCCACAAAAAACCCCAAAACAAAACAAAACATGGCAGCGCAGCGCATTAGCTTGACAAAATTGCATTCGAACAAACCACAAGTCTTCTGGAACAATGTGCTTTAGACAGATGAGACCAGACTGGAGATTATTTTGAAAAGAAATTTGTTTGATAAAAACAGCACATCAGCACAAACACCTCATGCCAACGGTCAAACACGGTGTGGAGGGGTGATGATTTGGGCTTTTTTTTGCAGCCACAGGTCCCGGGTACCTTGCAGTCATTGGCTGTATTCCAAGTCAGGGTCTGCAGCCTTATGGGCCGCATTTTAAGGCCGATTATGTCACAGCGACGCGACGAAGGTTGTCCCAATTCGAAGGCTGCTTGAAATGCGGCCCTCAAATGCGTCCTTCATTTCCCTGAATTTTAAGGATGTGGCGGTGTAGACTTCGTGGCCCAACATATCCCAGAATGCATAGCGCGGCGGTGGGTGTGGATAATTTTGCCGGATGAGGGGCGCCCGAAGAGTAAACTTTAAGTAAATACTGAATATTATGTCACTTATTTATGTGCAATTGTTTAATAACGAAGAACACTAAAACATTACTGTTGGCCACATGTCGGCAAAGGTATGTGACGTTTGTACTAACTTGGTTTTAAAGCCTTTACTTTAAAATATACGCCGTTCAATAGCTTAGCTTAATCCTACAGAGAATGATCAAAGCTCATGTAGAAACAAACAAACAAATGAACAAAAGATTTTCTCCTTCATTTCTGTCAAACAAAGCTGTATGACACGTTTCTAGCTGTTAGTATCATGGTTGCTAGGCAACCTGGGCAGCGCGACGGAGGCTAGACCGTCCCATTTTACAAGCCTCGCACTTCCGGCCTTAGCGGTCTTTAAGTACGCGGCCCTTGTGGACCGTTAAGGCTGCGTACTTTTAGGCTGCAGACCCTGAATTGGGATACAGCGATTGAGACGATAAACTCCCGTGTATTACAAAGTACGCTAGGATCAAATGTGAGGGCATCTGCCTGAAAGCCAAAGCTTGGCTGAAACTGAGCCATGAAACAAGACAATGATCTCCAGGATGCCAGCTAATGTGCAACAGAATGGTCCAGTCGAACATCAAAGTCTTGGAAAAAAAAAAGAAAAAAGAAAAGCTTTCCACCCTTTCATATCTGTGCAACACTTCTTCTGACATCCTGCAAAGTTGCCAGATCAATAAGATTGCTCTCACCAGCTAATCTTTCTTTCCAGTAGCCGACTTTGTGAGCAACCAGGCTTTTATTTTCAGTCAAAGCTGTACTACTCAAACTCTGAATATCATGTCATTAGTTTGAACACCTAAACCTGGCAGTATTACAACCTGTCAAATGTCTCTAATAAGTACATGAAAAGTTCAACTAATTCTTTGCCATTAGTATAATTATATTGCATTTGTAGAAATTACTTTTTTAAAATCACCAGTCGGTCATTTTATTGGATATTTTGTTCAAGGACTCATTTACCTTGATTGGTATCTTTCTAGCTTGTACTTTTGACACAGACATTGGACATAGCATGCTGGTGATGCTTCAGTGTCTGTATAATACTAACATATAAATTTCATAGAAAGAATATAGTTTAAAAATAGCTGATCAAAATATCTTAAGAAAGATGAGAAATGAGTCCAAGTTTCTCTTAACAGCATGTTTTGATCTGTGTACTCAGCTTTTGCCAAACTGCACCTTCCCATAATTGTCCACAATCATCAGATCTAAAAGAATGTGTCAATGTTTAACAGTTACGGCATTCTGAAACGTCTTAAAAATATTTTTGTTCCCGACCTTCAAGTCAAAGAACAGGGCATGACACTTGAGCCTGAGGATAGCCATTAGTTTCCTTTTCATCTGCTGTCCTGCAGAGTGGGATGAACCCAGAGTAAGGCTGTAGCGCAGAGACAGTCCAGCATAGCTGTGAAACAAGAAAAAAAGCAAGAAAATTTAAAAACAACAAAACATTCAGAACTACAGAGAGATTTTTGTTTGACCAGAGGATCAAATTGGCTCACGTTTATGAGTAGGAACAAAGTTCAGCCATAAACTATAAAGCCTTGACAACAGGCCCAAGGAGACACCACAATATAACGCAATAACTGTGCAGTATAATTACAGCTGGAATGGACCTTTCACCTGGAATAGTCTTTATAGACGTCCAGCGTGTGGGTGTCCAGCAGCAGTCCACACCAGGGGAAGAGGCAGCGAGGGGGCAGCATGCGAATGTCGGGACAGGAAGCCGCGCTTCCCGATACCTGAAAGTTCAAAACCACCTTCTGCGGGTTGACTGCCAGACCATACTGTGGCACACCGGCCAGCAAGATCCTACACACAAAGAGCAAGCGGCATTATAAATGCACTAAAATAAGCAGCTTTGCATGATTTGCAGTTTGAAAAATAAATAAATACATGTAAAAACTCTCCATTTCTCTTATACTGAGACTTTGTGCAGCTCACCAGGTCATCCACTGTCTCAAGCAAGCTGTTCAGAATAACTATATATGTGGATGCATTTATTTGGGGTTCTACAGAAAACTGCAAATCCCATTCCAGTCCCCTACTCCAAAATATATTGTGCAGTAACACAGAATATTTAAAACTGAACTGAAAGTAATACTTGAGAAAAGCTTGTGCTTCATGTTGGTCTGGTGTAATTAGAAGGAAGTCATCCACCAGTCTCATCAAACACCTGCAGGACACAAGGAGAGCAAAATAACAGCCACAGTGGACCAAATCAAGAGCTACAGCACAGAAAGAGTGCCCTCTTCTGCCCATGATGGGTAATATGTATACAAGCTGGAGCTGACTGAAATATAGCGAGGTCTAATGTACCCTTTGTGTCCTGGAATATCTTTAAACAGGAGATTCTCCATGTGGCCGTAGCAAAGGCAGCAGAGCAAACTAGATACAACCGATCCCTGAGGAATCCCCCGGAACTGACGGTACGTCCTGAAACATAAAGGGACAAAATAGACGTAACTGCCTTGATGACATCAAAATGTTTTAGAAAACGGTGTTCGAGAATCTTACTTTTTCCCATACTGAACAACACTCCCAGTTAGCATTTGGGTAAAGAACTGCAATGCCTCTCTGCCATGAAGATCTGAGCAAAAGTGCTGCAGCAAGGAAAAGTAATGCGTTCAGGACTTAAGCACACAATTTGCCCAGCCACAGCAAACCACGCGATGAAGCCAGAGTTACCTGTTCAACCAGGATGGCGTGATGAACTTTGCCTTTTCTCTGCAATGACGTCGAAAAGCCCTTCATGTTGGTGGATCCTATGTTATCCTCCAGGAAATCTGCCTGTGTTAACCAAAACAAAAAAAGACCGACTTTCACTCATAAATAATGTTTATATATGGTGGTTTTCACAGATTCTTCTTCTTAAATTGAGTTTAACTTAGTTTGATGGCCATGTCTGCCAAAGGGTTCAGCGACGTGTTTGTTGACCTGTGCACTTAGATCAGGGTCTGGCACACATTAATTTCCATCGGTTAAAATTAATTGCCCACTGCTGATCTAGATGGTTGTGCTGGTGTTGGTCATAATGTCAGTATAGCTGGAGTGACTTGGTTTAAGCAGACATGTAACTATATTTATGATAGGGAACAGGCATACATACACTAACTCCTCCTAGATGCACGGATCAATCTGGATGAAACTCATTATATAAACTGGGTAAGGTCGCAGGATTATCAACATCTACATCGCTTATAACACTAATCCTTACAAATTACATATAATATGTCTAGTAGCTGAACTACAGCAACATTAAATGTATGCTGCAGGCATGTTGTTGTTCATAAATACATTTTGTTAAATAATTTTAGTACAGTGGCACTTTGAGAGTCACTGGAATGTGTTGTCAAGCATAACTGTGCCTGTGTTCATCTGACGGTGACACTGACAGTAAGTTACAGTGTCTAATAATCAGTCCGACTGACTAGTTTATATAATGAATATGTAGTTTGCACAGAAGAAGAAAAATATGGTTTTTTTTATTGATTTGATTGGTGCTTATGAGCAGCCCTTTTTGCAGTCGCACTGTACGTAGTGATATAATAAAAATAAAGAATAACATGTAAATTAAAATGTATGCGTTTTAATCCAACAAATACACCAGGCTAGCAGGTATAACACTAGTTTAAGTAATGTGATGTTAACTAATATTACCATAAATGTCATTTTTGGACTAATTAATACTATGTATGCTCTCAGATAAGCATGTTTGCAGATCGGATGGCTACCTGTCTGACAAAGGCCTTTTTCAGGCCTTCGTGTGAGTCTGCCCAGATCTTGGCATAGCGGCGGATGGTAAAGAGTTCATCGTGGACAGGTGACAGGGCTTGGCCAATCACCTCTATGAGTTTGTCATGCGGCAAACTCTCATAGGCTCCACTCACGTCCATCTTAAACAAAGAGGAAAAAGTTAAATTATACATTACCTATACAGCTGAAATTTACAGCTGTATTATCCTTAAAATAAATTGAAAGCTCTCTGCCAAACTATTAAATGTAACAACTCACCTTAACAAAATAGAGGGGTTGTGGTTTTTCTTTCTGCGCTGGTGCCAAAGAGCACAAAACTTTGTGGATGTCAGTCATCCCCCACACTGTGGATCCCAGTAGTGATGGAGTGGCACGCACACAGGCCCGCAGCATATCCAGCAAGTCCCTGACACGACCTCGGTAGAGCTGTAGGGAGGACCAAAGAAAAGTTGAAAAACCAGCCCATGGACACAGGATGTAATAACAGACAAGTCTGAGGTAACTGTTGGTGCGTACCCTTGTTTTGGCATCTGCTCCTATGACTCGTGTGATGGGCCTCATGCCATCAGTCTTGGGAATGAAGCGAAGGCGGGAGATGACGGTGCCTTTGGGCAGGGATGCCACCTGAGCTGGAGTCAGCTCCTCCATCTGGCCTTTGGAAAGGTGACCTCTACATGAAAAGAAAATTTTGTTCCTTTTTTTTGGACGTATGCCTCATGTCTGTATGTATGCTGGCTACTGTAGTAATGTTGTGTGAGTGTACCTGAAGGCCAATTCTTGCAGTTTGGTCCAGACTTCCTGCCTGTAGAACCTGATGGCGTTCTTCTGCCCAATACTCTCTGTTGCATAGAAACAGGCTCTCACAAGGCCTGTAACATATCCATCCAGAAGCCAAGCCAAGAACTGACCCAGGACCTGTGTCCGATACGCAAGCTCGCTGGGTGGAAAACGGCCTGCAGATGAGTTACATTGGTTAGGTCGGGCATGAAACACGAAGCCATGAAAAAAAAAAAAAAAAAAAAGACCATGGGTGCTAACCTCACCTGTTTTACTCCTCTTCAACCAATCACAGTCATTCACCTTTATCTTCCACATCAGTTCAGCCAGTGAGAGCCTCTCAAACTTGCCACTTTGCAAGAAAGTCCTGACCCTGGCAAAGAAATGCAGCCGGTTTTGATCAGAGCCCCACAGTTCTTGTGGGATCACAGAAGAGAGGCATTCCCGGACAAACAGGTAAACCCTGTGCGGTGCACAGTGCTGAGGTAAGAGTGAGTTTAGTTCTCCCTGTCCTGCATTGCTCTCCTCCATTGATGGACATAACCTCTGTAGTATTCTGGTGTAGGGACATCTCCTGTGTTGTTGTAAGAGCTGCCTAAACAGGGGGACCAAGCCAAAGAACCGCTGGGGGAGTTTTTTAGGCTTCCTCTCTACTCCATTCAAATGCGCTAGTCCCTCGAAGAAGACTATTCTTACCAGATCTTGTCCTTGAAGCCTTCTGGATCCATGAGCAGTCTTTTTCCTCCTGTTAAGAAGAAAGCCACGCATGCCCCTGCCCCCATACAGGAATCCCAGGGTACGGATAAAACATTGCGAGGGTGGTAAAGGGGGGAAAATCCCTGTTCTCCAACTAGGACCACCCTCCAAGGGAAGTACAAATGTTGGCATTTCAACAGGCTGTTTGAAAGCTGTAGGTGGTGCTGATTCCACAGCCACGGCCTGTCCTTCCTTTTCAGAGCCAACTTGTTGGATCGCCTGTTGATGTTCTACAGATGCTACTCGCCTCCTCTTTCTTGAACAAACTGCCACCTCCTCCTCTTCTCCAGTTTCCCGTTTTCTTTTCCCCTTTGTCCCTCCTTTATTCCTTCTTTTCATCTTCTTGCTTGCAGGAGTCACAACTGTGCGTTTCTGTTTCAAACTCACTGACCCTCGACAGCTCTCAGTCTTGGTACGATTAGGTTTCCTGACTCGCGGCTGGAGAAAAAACCCACAAGAGGCCGTGGTCATGGACACCCTGTCATAGACTGGAGGGCCGCACACCTGGAAAGCACACGAAGGAGGAACTGCCACAAACACAGAGCAGCTCTCCAGGAGATACTGCGTGATGTCTGTGCCCAGACGCGTTATGACTTTTTTCCACAGGTCACTGCCGTGGATGTAGGCAGCACTCTGTGTTACATCGCCTTGGAATTTGAGGAAATCTGCATCCCGATCCTCCTGAGCCAGCGTCTGAAAATTATACCCATGTGCCAAGACATTCCTTTTTCTTTTTCTTTTTAGAGTGTTGAGAACAAACGCCAGTAGTTCAGGCAGACTGCAGATCTGTGGAAAGTATGAATACATAAGAAGAGGCCATCTGCCATTAAGCTGTTAAATCTTGACAAAGGCAAACTCTTTGCTATATTAGCCCAGAGACAAAACAATAATCTGAGTTCTTTATTCTTCTATGTGATTAAAATTACTTCAAAGTTACAGCTTGCCTTACTAACTAGAGCCATTAAATCAAAGAGTCATGGCACTCGAAAGATCCTGAAATGAAATATCCCACGTATAACTTAGCACAGTGAAAACCCTTTCAGAGTATTATTCTGGGGCCCGCCCCGTGTCCTAGTGTAGAGCCGGACGAATATATCGGGCGATATCAACTATCTGTCATTATAACTGGATACATTTAAACATGTCTAATAAAGGAGAAAAGGGGGGGGGGGGTGCCCCAAAAGAAAAAAAGAGGACCTCGCTGAAGCTGAAATATCCTCCAGCAGCGCACATTTTACTCCCAGCTTAGTTTCAATGAGAAAAAAAGGAGTGTAACATGGTTTCCTGGCTTTAACATTATAACAGCATGGCAGGCAGAGTTAGCTACACCGCTTCAAACGTCCACAGAGGAGTGCGTGTCAACTCCTCAGGGCTAACCTGGGAAATGTACATGTATACTTTTCAATAGGGCGAAACGTTACCTGTTTGCAGCTCGCTACCTTCTGTAGCTCCTTGTCAAAGCACACAAAAACACTCCTAACGAACGATTTGAAACGGTTTGTATCTGTCTGCTCAATGAGAGCTGCTTTCTGTCCCTCTCTGAACACGATGCTGTCCGAAAACTCCTCCAGTGTCTGCGTGTGCCGGTACAATAACCGAAGGATATCCAGCACACCGGACATATCAGTCGCAGACATACCGACTGTGTTCGGAGCACTTGGACAGAGGTTAGCTACTTTACACCGGGATTTAGCTATGTTTCACGTTTTAAGGGCCCGCGTCATGCTTAGCCTATGGGAAAGCGGTTTATTGGAGCTGGCCAATCAAAAGTTCTCATACTAAAGGGGGGAATTTACTGTTGACCAATGACAAACAGGTAAAGGCTTGTTGTCTTTTGGCACGAGTGTAGTGGAAAAAGTGACAGTATCACGTGCTATGAGAACCGCTCACCAGAGATCATTCATTCTGTCACCAGCATTATATGCGCACCACAGGCGGTTAAAGCGACTTTTGTTTATGACCTTAAAATTACATTTTAATTATAAAAAAAAACAAAACGCTAACGAAGCCTTCAGAAGAACAACAACGATAAAGTTTTCTACCTGGTGTGCCTCTGCCAAAGTCCACAGAAATGCCAAGAAACACAATAAGCACACGGGTGGTGTTTACCTTCATAATGTCCAGTTTATAACAGTATATTTTAGTAAGGATAACAATGCATTAGTTTTCTCAGTATTCGTGTCTGGTGTGCGTGCTTTGACGTAAAAATAGTGTCATTGTTCCTATTTGCTATGGCTGGTGCTCTAGGTTGCCATCGAAATTACTTGCAGCTGCACCGGAGTCGGCGATAGCCACGCGCACAGGTGCTGCGCCGTAATTGGTGGGAAGACGCCCCTCTTTGTACTGAGCGCGCGAATGCACCCACGTCTCTCACAGTCGGCTGCTCGGTTAGCTAGTTCTTAGCGTGCCGTTGTACTCCCGTGGTTTAAACGGTACCGGGGGTCTGCAGGCACACCGGAGGACCAGCTTGGACGAGGCTCAAGGGGCTCTACACCTTAACCACACTTCAGCTTTCAGTTTTCTGTCAGCTACGTGGGAGAAACATGATGTCAGACAAGGAAGGTAGAGTGAGTACTTTAGTTGTCAGCAAAAAGAAACGATTCTGTTTGATGCCCCTCAGCTAGTTGTCAGGTTAGCTTAGGTGGCAGCTAGGGCAAGCTGCCCGTAGCTCTTGTGTTTTACTCTATAACAGTCAACACAAGCGGGGGTAATTTAAGAGTGTGAAGGTGAACTTTACTAATGTCAAAGCTCAGTTATTGTTTGGGCACCGTCTCTGAAAAGTTGTGGTAATTTGTGTGTGAATACCGGGCAGAGGTGAAGAAATGAGTTCACGTCTTATGGTAATGCTAACGCTGTAGCAAGGTGCGGGAACAATGAGAAGTTTCTCATAACACTGATAAATACCTAGGCCTTGTCACGTTAACAGTCAAATCACTTGATAGCGAAATTTGTTGACTGTAAAGACCAACTTTTAAAGGTTGTTGCTGATTCACCTGAATAATAAACTAGACTGGAGCCACAACACTGATGAACTTTACAGGAAGGGTCAGAGCAGACTCGACCTGCTGAGGCGGCTGAGGTCATTTGGAGTCCAGGGAGCGCTTTTAAAAGACCTTCTATGACTCTGTGGTGGCATCCGTCATTTTTTACAGTGTGGTATGTTGGAGCAGCAGTTTATCGGCAGCTGAGAGGAAGAGGTTGGATAAACTCATTAGGAAGGTCAGCTCTGTTCTGGGATGCACCCTGGACCCAGTGCAGGTGGTGGGAGACAGAAGGACTCTGGCCAAAATAACATCTCTGATGGACAGAGCCTCCCACCCCATGCATGTAAATGTTGCTGAACTGCAGAGCTCCTTCAGTGACAGACTGCTGCATCCTCGATGCATGAAGGAGCGTTTCCGCAGGTCCTTGCTCCCTGCAGCTGTCAGACTATACAATCAAAACCGCTCCCAACAAACATAGTGCAAGTGACAGCGCTGATGTAAACCTCTATTTTATCAACCGATTCACACTATAACCAGAGTTTGCCTCTTAACTTTATTTAATTTAATAACGGTACAGTACTCTGTTTTTGGTAACCATTGTCCTTGATGTAAATATGTAAAAATTGTGTATGTTTCTGTTCTGTGTCTTGTGTTTGTTTGTATATGTGTCTTTCTTGCTGCTGTTACACCCAAATTTCCCCTTGTGGGACAATTACAGGGTTATTCTATTCGATTAACTGTAACAGAAATAAATCTAGTATAAACTAACAGCTTGAGTTAGTGACAGCTATGGATATATCTGACAGGTATTTGTACTTTTTATTTAGTTACAGTATTACTGTGTGGCCAATTATCAATACTGGTTCTGTGACCACTTTGTCTTCCAGCTGGTGCTTTTGATGATGCGTTGGAGGAGAGGGTCATCAATGAAGAGTACAAGATCTGGAAGAAAAACACCCCCTTTCTTTACGACCTGGTTATGACCCATGCCTTAGAGTGGCCCAGCCTGACTGTTCAGTGGTTACCTGACGTCTCAAGGTGGAAGCGCTTACACATTTGACCAGTAATATATCACAAACATGCAAGAAAGTGGTATTAATGCATTAAACCTTTTTTTTTTTCTCTCCCTACCAGGCCCGAGGGAAAGGATTACAGCGTACACAGGCTCATTTTGGGCACTCACACGTCTGATGAGCAGAATCACCTGGTTATTGCTAGCGTGCAGCTGCCCAATGATGATGCCCAGTTTGACACCTCGCACTACGACAGTGACAAAGGAGGTGGGTATATTGATAAAGAGTGAATGTATAATGCATTCACTTCATATTTTATATACTTACAGCTTGCAAACATATTTCTCTATATTTCCCTGAAGAGTTTGGAGGCTTTGGCTCAGTAAACGGCAAGATTGAGATTGAAATCAGGATCAATCACGAAGGAGAAGTGAACCGTGCCCGCTATATGCCCCAGAACCCCTGCATCATTGCCACTAAGACCCCCACCTCAGATGTGCTGGTGTTTGATTACACCAAGCATCCCTCAAAGCCAGGTGCAACAATCACACAAAGCACAACACACCGCTGAAGATGGCATGTTCTTGAGTACGTTATGAAAAACTGGATTGTGATTGGTAGCTTGCTGGTATTAAAACAATTATACAACTTCATCAAAACATAAATACTGGGCGTACAGAATCGCTAGTCAAAAACAAACTTGTCTGTTCAGTTCTTTTAGACTCTCACCTCTCTTCCAGTGTCTCTGAATTGACAGTTGATTTTATTATGTCGTCTTTAGATACTCCAGGAGTGTGTCGCCCTGATCTGCGTCTCAGAGGCCACAAGAAAGAAGGCTATGGTCTATCCTGGAATTCAAATCTGTCAGGAGCTCTTCTTAGTGCATCAGATGATCACGTAAGAGGAAGTAGTTCTTGTTTTATGAAGAAATGGTGCTAAATATTTTTCTGTTTTTAATTTTTAGCAGCAGATATTTCCAACTAGGGCTATTTTACAGATTTGTTATATTAGTTTCAATCACTATATTTCCAGTACCATAAATAAAAGTAAACTGCTTTGCCAAAAAAGTCACACACACAGATATTTTGGTGGGCCGACTTCAGCCTTCCAATCCCTCGAGTTGTCTGTGTGACGTGCACATGGAAATGCTCGTAATTTAACTATTAAACTGCTGTCAGCTTTGTTCATTTGCAGCTTCTATTACTGTAGTTATCACAGAGCATTATTTCTACGATTAGGTTATTGAACTAGCATTTCTGATGCCAGCTGGTGAATTAAATCATTTACTCAGCTGATCCTTTACATCGGGCGTCTCAAACTCCAGTCCTCAAGGGCTGGTGTCCTGCAACTTTTCCACGTGTCCCTGTTGCAACGCACCTGAATACAATTAATTAAAGTCATTAGCAAGACTATGCAACTTTTAGACTGCATGCTGAGGTGGAAATTCAGCCGTTTGATTCATGTTACAGCAGCTTATAAGTGAATGAACATGGTGCAATAAAAGTACTTTTAGAAGTTCATTTTTCCAAACACTTACATTTACTTAAATTTAGCATGCAGGTGAGTTCTATATTCTCGCTAATGAGCTACTAATTTTATTCAGGTGTGTTTGCAACAGGGACAAAAGGACTGGAGTTTGAGACCCATGCTTTACATCAAGGGTGGGCAATTCCAGGCCCCGAGGGCCGGTGTCCTGCAGGTTTTAGATCTCACCTTTGGTCAACACACCTGAATCACATGATTAGTTCGTTACCAGGCCTCTGGAGAACTGCAGGAGCTAATTTAGCCATTTAAATCAGCTGTGTTGGTTCAAGGACTCATCTAAAACCGGCCCTCGAGACACTGGCCCTCGAGGCCTGGAGTTGCCCACCCCTGCTTTACATTCATAGCTACAATGACTTCTGTCTAAATGTTTTTCCACAAATGCTGTCATAAACTGACCTTAATGAAATGTCAGGAAGGTATTAAAAAATGTGCACTGCCAAAAACCTGCTGTTAACAATCATTTTCCAATTTGACTACGTTTTTACAAAACTGAAGTGCAAACATGAGGTTTGATGTGCTTTTGTCCCTTAGACAATCTGTCTGTGGGACATCAGTGCTGTTCCCAAGGAGGGCAGGATAGTAAATGCAAAGACGGTCTTTACCGGTCACAGTGCTGTGGTTGAAGACGTCTCTTGGCATCTGCTTCACGAGTCGCTCTTTGGATCTGTAGCAGACGACCAGAAGCTTATGATGTAAGGCTCTCAGTCAAATACCACGCGCAGGTGAAGCACACTTACAGTTTTTTTTTCAAATGCAGCAAAAGGATGAGCGTCACCCTGTGTCTTGTCCTTTAAGTTGGGACACTCGTTCAAACAATACCTCCAATGCCAGCCATGCAGTGGAGGCCCACACAGCAGAGGTCAACTGTTTGTCATTTAACCCTTTCAGCGAGTTCATCGTTGCCACCGGCTCAGCAGACAAGGTGATATAATATTCCAACACTTTTTAATTGGTACTGTTTTATTAACAGCAGGACTTTTAACTGAGTGCATTTTGTAACTGTTGACTAAATAATCCTCATGGTATTGTTAGTTTTGTAACTGCAGTGTTGTTGCCGAAAATGTTGCAGGCATGTTGTAATATATATCTGTGCCGCCCACAGACCGTGGCTCTTTGGGACTTGAGAAACCTGAAGCTAAAGCTACATTCCTTTGAGTCGCACAAAGATGAGATCTTTCAGGTAAGATGTTTCTTTATATGAATGAAATTGTACTGAAATAAGGACAGTATCTAGTGGTGCAGTGATATAATTTTGTATATTTTATACTGATTTAAATTTTAAAATAAAGCACTGAAATAAATCTTATGTAGTATATGCCTCTTTTGACTC